AAAAGAGGGCAATCAATATGCTTTGCCAGGGTCTTTTTAATGTGTCCTGAGCCATTATGGTCATAATGTTTCTTCAGGCTGCGTGTCAATACATTTGAGACACTGAACATGTCAAAACCACATAAAATCTTTATTAAGGTGAAATTAAGTGAGCAAGCTTGAATCAGTAACTTAAATGGTATTATCCTTCAAGGATGCCAGACCTAAAAACCAGACACAGCTGAAAAATCCAGGGCATTCAAAGTTAGGATAAAATTAATGAGAAACTCAAACTTTTGCCACAGAGCCTGGGCAGGAGGAATTTAGGCAGACGGGAATTGCTGTTATGGTGCTCTGGACACCTGCCCTTCATTTTTTATTGCAGCATTGGCCTGAGCTAAAGAAGTGCAGTGAATCTGGGGCAGGCAGGAGGAAAACAGTTACTGGCATGAATGTTCAGTCTCCCTCCGCTCAACAAATTAACCCAGATTGAACAAAAGAAAACAAAAAAAAAATTACTTATTTGCATACGGTCTGAGGTGACCATGCACAGGGCTGCACTGGGTGGCAGTGGGACGCGTGGCACCCCGTGGGGAGGCCATACGGATTTCGCAAGGGAGGGAATGGAGAGCCTTTTTACCCTACTCAGTTAAATACAACCCGACAGCCTCGATCCCTCCCCACTGTACCTGTGGTGCCTGTGGCAGCAGGGCTGTGCACACAAGCACACGGCGTGCTTGAGGAGGAAACTGGAGCAGTGCAGGTTAGGAGGCAAAGCATCCCGCCGCTCTGCTGCCTGCGGGACAGTATCTCCCTGCACCCCGCTGCTGCTTCCCCACAGCCCAGGCAGCTTCTGCCCCCTGCGCCTTCCCAGGGTTACTTTAGGAGGTGATGCTGTCAGGTACCCGCGAGGCAGCAGTGGGTGTTTGGCTGGGACTGGGGCTCACTGCTCCCTGGTCACGCGTTAGCAGCCGTGCCCTGGGGCTGCGAGGGAGCCTGTGCTCTGGGAAGGACCAGGGTGGGAGCGATAATTAAACCCCAGGAAAAAGGAGCAGATGCTGGGCTAGGCTTGGAGAGCAGCCTGTCCCCAGGCACCCCGCTCTTGGCCTGTCATTTGCAAAATCTCCCACTGCAGAGACCCAGCCTGACCGCAGGGCCATCCTTGTGCTGTATTGCCCAGGTGGGTGTCTATCTTCTCCCAAACTCTCCCAGGCACTTTTGGACCCTGCAAAGAGACCAGTGCTGTACTCATGCGGAGAATCTGGCTGCAGGACCGCAGGGTGCTTTCGGCTCGGTGCCTGACGCCAGCCTCCCTCCTCCCAGCCATGCACAGGGGCTGCAGCATCAGGTATTTTCACCTGCCAAAAGGAGACCGTCAGAGGACAAGCAGGACATGTGAGAGCTGCCAGGACCCTGGGAAAGAAAACCTATAGCTCGTGTCCCACTTGTCTTCCCAGTGCCCATAGCTGGGGAGCACGCTGGCACACAGGTCACCGCAGCAGCAAGGGGCTCGTGATGCTGCATGCTGGATGCGAGCTCCCAGGAGGGTAAAATTCAGCTCAAGGCGGTGAGAAAGGTGGACGTACTGCAGGTACCATGAGGCTGTTGGGACATAAGAGCTGGGTCCAGGCTCTTCTCACAGACAGTGTCAGGCAGGCAGCAGCTCAACCCCATTGCTGCCTCTTCATCCAAATGTTTGGCAGGGGGGACAGGACCCAGATGAATTTGTCTGGGCTCGATGCTTCACAACAGCCTGGTATGGCTTGCTTTGCTCAGCTTACTTGTGAGCTCCTGTTTTGCAGTTCTCCACCGCTTGGGAAGTGGATGGGTTCAGTCCAGCCCAACCCCGCTGCCCGGAGAGCAGGCGGTGCAGGGCTGGGACAATTTGCTGCCCTTTGGGACCAGCCTGGTAGGAAGGCTCAGAGAGGCTCGGGTTTTGCATCTCCAGAGGGTGCCATTGCTCTGGTGTCCCCTGCAAGCTACGGGGTGGACCTGGCTCCTCCGGAGGCTATCGCTTGGCTTGGAAGAAGGCATACACCTCAGCGCTGCCCAGTGGGTCAGTAACTGGTAGGACAGCACCACTTGGGTCCCCAAGCACCACTAGCCTCTCCTCACCAAGGGCAAGGGCTCCCTTGTGCCCGTGGCCTGTTTTTGAACAGCAGCGAGGGATGCCGCCCCCGTGGATTTTTCCACTGGAGGGCTGGGAATTTGCGTCCCTTCTTCTGCATTATTGTTGTGCTGCTTTCATTTCAGCAGGTGGGAGTCTATAGCTTGCCAGGAGGATTTCTCATTTCACAAAGAAGCTCTTTTGCCAACACACCTTCTCAGCAGAAAGCTGAAAAATTGCTCGGTTCCAGCCTATTTAGTTTTAATTGTTTCCTTTAGTCCTCATTGCCCGTGGCAAAATATCACCTTCCCCTAACAAACAGCCAGGCTGGGAGCCAGTCACCCTGCGCAGCTGCCACCACCATGCTGTCCCTCCTGCTGGTCCCACGGTTCCCAGGGGTCTTGTCTCTACTGGGCAGGGCTGGATTTCAGGGAGGAGGCAGCAGCTTGCATTGCCCTGAGCAAGCACTGGGTGAGGAACAGTTGCAGTGCTCCCATTGCTGCGCTGTCTCCATGTCTCCAAGGTCTTTGCAGGCTGTGCTGGCTCTTCCCTCTGCTCGCAGACGCCCACCACGCCGCCTTTCCCAGCTAGCTCTTCTCTCCTCTGCTTCCCAGCCTTCCTCCGGTGGCTGCTGTGGAGGGGCTCGTAACACTTGCTTTCAAGATGGCTTTGAAAAGAAAGGGTTGTGTTGATGAGTGAGAAACACGATGCACACAGAGCCCCTGGGGGATGTTGAACAGCAGAAGACGAGAAAAGACTCTCCTCCCTCCCTTCACCACAGAGCAGGCTTTGAGCACCAGTGAGCTCAGGTACCTTTACGGGAGCGATGCAGTGCACTGCATCCCCTGGGGGATACAGCAGAAGACGAGAAAAGACTCTCCTCCCTCGCTTCGCCACAGAGCAGGCTTTGAGCACCAGTGAGCTCAGGTACCTTTACGGGAGCGATGCAGTGCACTGCATCCCAGGTGAGCATCGCCTCCAGGACCTCCCCTCCCACTCCTGCTCCTAATGCAGGGGCTCAGGGCAGCCCTTCCCCAAGGACACCCCTCTCCACAACCACAACAACTCCGTGTCACCGGAAAGTGAAAAGTGGAAAGCAGGGCCTTGCAGCCTTGGGAAAAGGTTGTGGGGACTCCTAAGCCTGCTCGGATGTTATGGCACCAGGAGGATAAAGCACTATTCCCTTTCCATGCAGGCTCCATCCAGGGAGCATAGTCAGATATCCTCCCAAGCAACCTTAGCAACAGATAAGGCTCAAGGGAATATTAACTTATTCCAATATATGGCACAGCTGGAGAGCTAGGTAGCAGGCTGAGACAGAACAAAAATATACGCAACAACCTGTCAGAGTAACCCCCGGGCAATTTATTTTATCCCCAGGATAAAATACCGCTGCGGGTGCGGCCTGATGCTGGGCGCTGCCCAAGCCGGCACGTCCCAGCCCCGGGCTGCACAGCACCGCGCTGGAGCTGGCAGCACCACTCTTCCAGCACCTGCAGGTTTTCCTCCGCTCAGTTCTGGGGAAGAGCTGTAAAACAAAGGCTCATAAATTAATTACCTAAAAGAGTGGCAGAATGTTATTAGATACTTGGGAGTTAATTGTACTGATGTTAATCGCATGTATTTTAATGGCACCAGTAGAGATGTAATGTGTAATTCCATAGGTATTCCAGAATAATTTAGCAATTTAATTAATTTCTGCTAAAACCTTTTAAATCACCTGCCCTCTTCCTCTCATGTTCTCTGAGGGAAAGGAGGAAGAAACTTTTTCAGTCGGCTAAATTTATTGCAAACTCACTTTTGTTGGCAAAGATACCATTTTATTTCTCAGCAGATTTATTCCCGGTAGAGAACCCACCCCACAAAGTCATCCCTGGGTGACAGGGTGGCCAAGCAGGGCTGTGATTGGCTGGTCCTAAATTTGGAAGGCTGGATCAGGGCTGGGTGAAATGTTCTGGACAGATCATGATTGGCTGAAAAGATGGGACTAAAATGATTTGTGGATTCAGGTCAAATTCGATAAGCAGAGCCAGGACAAAATGTGGAAGAGAAATGTAAACAGCATCAGGCATTTATTCCTGTCTCCTCAAAATGAAATGTTTGGTTTAGAAAAAAGCAAAAATATCCCGTTTCAGAGTGTTTGACATGCAGCTTTTTTGCTTGTCTCCCTTGTGCCTTCCCCCAGTTGAAGGCAGCTGAGAGGTGCCCAACCCCTGGGGAACCCTCTCAGCTGGAAAAATGATTTATTTGCTTTCTGTGCCCACCGCTCGACGAGTGCAGGGCACAGCACCTCGGGACGGCACTTGGGGGTCCAGGGGAGCTGGATATAGACAAGGACGAGACAAGTGATTTGGGCCATGTGGGAGCTGCCCCCTGAGCTGTCCCCCTCCGTCCCCACGCTGGCAGAAAAGAGACCACCAGAAGCCATTGCTCTCACGGGGCTTTTATTGTTCGGCTGGCCCTTGCCTCCCGCCCTGCTGCCCGCGGCCAGCCGAGCCCCTCGCCACCGCGCACACCGGCGGGGGTGTTTTTTTTTTTTTTTTTTTCAATATTTTATTTTAAAATAAAAGTAGCTGTGGAAAGCAGCCCTCTTTATAAACGCTCGATGACAGAGTGAAATGCATTGTCGCCACCCTTATTACTAAGCCCTCCTGGGTGCCCGTGCCTGCCTGCAGCAGTGCCGGCGGGGCCAGGGCGGCTGCACCAGCTGCTGCAGGCAGGGAGTCTTGCACCGGAAGGGAGAGAGAGAGAGACCCTTCTAAAAGTAGAAATATTGTGCTGAGTTGTTTGGAGTGAATGAAACACATAAAACACCAGCATTAGATTAGCTTTAGCTTGTCAAATATTGCTCCCAGCAGAGTCGGCGTAGTGAACTGGTGGAGGCGCAGTCCCCCTCGTCCCAGGGCAGGGGAGCCATGCCAGCCCCCAGCCCCGCTCCCCACCACAGGGCTTGCTGCTCTTGCCTGCCACCGACCATAAGGACACTGGCCCCCGGGGCAGCCCAGGAGCCCCCGGGAGCCACTATAAAGGAAACTGTAAACACAACCATTGGAGATAAAAGACATCTATGATCACAGGGTTTACTGGTTCAAACATCCCACCCTCCCCCCCAACCCGTACACCTATGCCCCTGTCCCCACTCCATAAAAAGGTCTCCGGTAACAAAATCTTCGTTCCAGGCTTGGAGTAAAGGTGAGGTGCTTGAGGAGTAAAAAGGGACATTGCAACCTTAGTGGTCTTTGCTCAGGAGGGGAGAAGGTGGCGGGAGGGAGAGAGAGGGTTAGCTGGTTCAGGTCCTTTGCAAGTTCATTTGGTTTGTCTGGAGGACTCCTAGGGTTATACCTGAGATGAAGACATCTAGGGGACACTCCATAGCTCAATTAAAACATGGTTGGTGTTTTGTGCCTAGAAAAGCCCTCGCTGCCGGGATTTGTCCATCGCGCTCGCCCCGCGCAGCAAGAGAGCAGCATCCTTCCTCCACTCAGTACGGGGCTATCTGAACCAACACTCGGCTGGGGGTGATCCCTCATGTGTCGAGGATCTCGCTGGTGGGTGACAGCTCGTGGGGGATGCCCTGTGCGCTGTGGATGGTCTGGTTGTGGGAGAGGGAATTCTGCTGGAGCTCCAGGGCAATGGCATTCTGGGGGAACTCCTTCACCTGCCGCTTGTACTCAAGGAAGGTGCACGCCTTGGTGGCGATCGCGATGATATTCTTGCCGATAAAGATGGTGGAGACCCTGCTGTCCTGGAACAAGACCATGTTGATGGCCCGGATGAAGATGGTGACGATGTTAATAGTGACCAGGCTGAGGACGGGGTAGAGCATCATTTTTTGTGGGGCAATGTGCTCCCCTTGCATGCTGATCTCACTGAGGGACACGCAAGGCAGGATCAGGAGGAGTATGTAGCAGTAGAAGAACATGAGCCCCTCTGCCCAGATGGGCAGGCCGGTCCTGTGTGGCTCCCACAGGTTGGCCTGAATGTCCAAGATATCCAGCAGGTCGAGGGCCACCCAGAAGAGGCGCCCCCGCAAGTCCTCTTTCTTCCGAAAGGTCCGTATGTACTCCATGCTGTCCAAGGCCACCAGCACCAGGTACAGCCCCGGCACGCAGATGGAGAGGAGCAGGGTCAGGGCTTTCCTGGCCACTGTCTCCAGGTTCTTCTTGTCCGCTTTGTAATTCTGAAAGATGAAGTACAGCTTGATCTCCAGCACGAAGATGTAGAGGAACCACAGGATCATGGCGTAGCCCCTCTTGGCTGTCTTCACCTCCGCTCCCACCCACACTGCCACGTAGCGCAGCACGATGAGGAAGCAGATGTCTCCCACCAGCACAATGATGCAGACGCCGATCTTGCGGGGTCCCTGGTTCTGCTCCACCAGGTAGGCATCCATGAAGGCCATGCTGGTCATGATGACGATAGTGGTCAGACAGACATGGCGCTTGTCAGGCGGTGGCAGCACCATGGTGAGACGAGCGGCCCTCCCTCCGCACTGGCACTAGGGGAGCAGTCCTGCCGGTGGGGCACAGGGGGACATCTGTGGCAAGCCCAGGGACCAAGGGCTGCTCCGTCCCCCAGTCCCAGGAAGAGGTCCCCAGAGGAGCAGCGGCTCAGCTGGCAGCCCCGCTCTCCCGGGGCTCTGGGCTGCCCCTGCAGACCCTGTCCCCAGCTCTTCGCCCTTCACTGGCTGTGCCCTGCAAGCACCGCAGCTCTGCCCCCAGCCCCGGGCTGGCTGAGCAGCCCAGCCCCAGGCAGCCTCTGCCACCAGTAGCCAGGGCTCACAGAGGTGCAGGGCCTCCTCGAGGGATGTCCCTCCTCTGTGGCAGGTCCCCCATCGTTGTCAGGGTCTCCAGCAATCCTATGGCACTAATGCACCTCCGGGCTCCGAGCCCCAAATCCTGGTACAGATCTCTGGAAACACGGTAGGCAACTGGGCAGCAGGCAGACCTGGCCGGCAGGGAAGGAAGGGGAGCTCTCCTCTTCCTAGTGAGACCCCACGCTCCTCAGGGTCTGGGGGGGTCCCGCTGTGTCCTCACGGGGAATCACCTTCACACCTATCCCCGCGGGGCTGTGCCATGCTCCTGCTGCTCCCAGCTGTACACGCATCCCTCCATCCCTGAAAAAGATAGCAGAGAATGAGCGTTAGGGTCCCTCCACGTGCTGGCTATGAGACGGCAAGGACAACAGCCCCCCTCAGCTCCCACCACACCGCAGCATGAGCCAGGCTCTGGCCAGGTACTGTCCCATCACCGTGGCACCCACCACCGTGCCCTGTGTGTGTCTTAATGCAGAAGAGCTTTTTATTGAGGACGAACACAGCCTAGGGTGTCCTGCATGGAAACACGGCGTGCTGTCCTTACACAGGCACTCTCTGTCCAAAACTCCTCAGCAAGCTCAAGCCCTGGGTGCTCCTGCAGAAAAAGCAGGAGCACAACCCAGGTGGAGACAGGCAGAACCATGAGTGCCCCGTAACACTGCAAAGTCCCACTGGGGCCGTGGCACCCCCAGCTCCAGGTGTCCCAGCCGGGCTGTGTCCCAGCTGCAGTGGGGAGAGGGACCCACATGCTCTACGGAGGTCCCAGCCTTGAGGGGGGGGTCGGCTAAATTATGGCCTTGGGGTTTTACCAGTTACTGAGGAGGGGAGTGCTCAGCTTCTGGTGAGGAATAAATAAAGGCGAGCTCTCCGGAGAGGGCTCTGGGTTTTTTTCTTACCACTTGAGCAGCCGCCTGACAGGGTGTGAGGAGGTGCTCGACACGGCAGGCTGCCAGACCCCTGCCCACGGCTGCAGCAGGGCAGGGGGTAAAGCCGCTCGTAGAGTGTAGGGCACGTCCCTCCTTGAGTAGGGGTAAGGTTAGGGCTGGCACGTGGGGCTTGGGTGTGGCATGGCAGGGGAGGGGGTAGCAAAGCTGTCCTGGGGGCGGCATGAGGTCCCAGCAGCTTTCTAGACTGGCTCAGCTGCTCATGGCCACAGCTCCTCCTCACAGTGCTGCGCTTGCGTAATTCATTTGTTAATCTTTTCTGCGCAGGGACCGCACTCCTGGGAAGTGAGTAGTTTCCCGTGCACTCAAGAGCACTATCCAAACTGCTTACACAGAGTGAAGAAGATGATACATAACGATCACAGGCAGATGTGCCCATCACACACTGCGTGACAGCAAGCCCTACGTGTGTAGGAACTCCCTGGGAGGAAAGTGCTTGACCCCACAGACCCCCCTACAGATGACCCCATCTCATCCTGTGGAGCCTGGCCACCACGGCCGCGTCTGCCTGTGGATCCCTGTCCCTCATGCAACCCGCGCTTTGCCAGCCCTCAGCACTGTGCACCTGCACAAGCTTCGGTGGAAATGACAGCCCTGGAGATAACATCTCCGGGGTGACGCAGCCAGGCTGCTGGGGTCTGCAAGCACTCCTTACCCAGCCCACTGGGGTTAGGCTGAGCCTAGACCTGGATTTGGAGGGCTGCAAAGGTGCTGAGCCGAACCCCACACATGCATGCAGTTTGGCTGCCTTTCTCTTGGGGCCAGGGGGCATCCCTGGTTGCAGGAGGGGGACCAGGACCCAGGGAGAGCCCTGGGAGCTGTCGGAGGGACTCGGCACTGGAGCCTGCCCAGGACTCAGTGGCACTGCTTCTGCTCCCCACCGGCTAGCTTAACAAGAACATGCGAAAACCTGGGCTCTCTCATCTTTTCGGGAGAGAGGCAGAGGTGGAGGCTGAGGGGAAGAAGCCAAGCCTAAGGAAGTGTAAGCCATTAAAAACCTGCCCTACTTTGTACAGGGAAGTGTATTGCAGCTGCTTATGTTTATGGGGCCTCATTTAAATAAAAGCTGGATTCTCTCCTGCTTCAGGGAGAGAAGAAGAACAAAGAAGAAAAAGTGGGAAGCCAGATGAGTCAGAGCCAGCCCCAACGTGTGCCTGAGTAGGTGGACACCAAGGATCCACGTACCTGTGCCCTGGTTCCCAAAGGACAAGGCAGGCGAGGACATGGTGCTCAGCAAACGTTAGCAGGGGACTTAAAAACTGCTGCCCCAGCCAGGACCCACACATTGCTCTTCCGAGCCCACTGCTAGACTCGTGCACAGCTGGGAAAACTGGCACGTTAAAATCATTTCTCAGGCAGGAACTGCTCAGAAAGAAACCAAAGAGCCCAGGGGGATTCATGAGTACCCCTAAACTGTGCTTCCCAGGCAAGGCACTCACTGTAGCCCTGCTCTCACCACCGCGGCTCTCTGCGATGCTGTGTCTGCCGTTTAGTGCGTCAATTTGTTCTTTCTTGAGGTTTCAGACAAAAATATACAGTCATTGCTGTAACTGCTTTTAAACTCGTGCCAAGTTTTACAGGGGATTTATAGCCACGGATGGATAATTCCAGATAAATTAGGTCTTTCAGGAGGGAACGGTCGTTTTTTTCTTTCCCCCTTAAGTATGTATGCCTTCAAAAGACAGCGGTTATTTAAAGGGCAATGGGTGCATCACAGCACGTTAAGGTTAGGAAGCAGCTTGCTGGTAAATCACGCCCTCTGCCCCTGTGTGTTACACATGTGGTCTGGGAAGCCGGGGGATGGCACACGCTCCCAGCCCAAGCTATCCTCATGCCTACATGAAAGCACATAGAAAAACCCTACCCTGCCTCTCGGTGAATACCCAGGGCACCAGACGATATTAATTCATGGTGATTACAACACCAGCAAATGAGTCTTTCACCACTGGTGCTGAGCAGATTGTTTTCAGCAAAAAGTATGCTCAAATGGTAGATTATTCCCTCCTGTCCGCTCCCGAATGATTCGCAGCAGCTTGGGATGGGTTTGATAAACATGTTCATTTGTTACAGTGACCTTTCAGAGTGAAGGAAGGGGATCGCGGGGCTGAGCTGAATCACAGGGCTCAAGTGCTGCTTTCTCTCAAGCTAAATCCTGTATTACCCAGGGTGAGCACCTCTCTTGCCTTTTGCAAATAGTTTCCAAGCATTTGCTGCGGTGCAAGCTCTTCTTCTTATTTTCTAGCTGTGCAATAGCTGGTATTTTTCCCGCCTCTTCTAGCCCTGGTGCTATATGAAAATACAGAGGTCTCTGCCTATCCGTGGAGCAGAGCTTGCCCGCTTGAGTGATGTGTGACCATCCTACCAGGGAGGGGACACATAAAACTCTCCTCGGAGGACTATTAAAAAAAGCAGGTAGTTCTTAAACAACCATTACTCTCGGAAATCCTGATTCATAATTTTTAAATGACTGCATTTGACAGTACATTCAGAAACCTCTTGAGAAACGTGCTGGATAAACAAGAAAATGAGCACGTCAGATAGACACAAGAGCATATCTGAGGCAAATATTTGTTTAGATAAGCATTCACAAAATTTTTCTTCCTGCAGGAATTCTTGCAAATAAAAGGCAGCCCACCTGAACGTAATAAGCTTGGAGTGTTACGGATGCCAGTGAGCCAGGCTGGCAGCTTCCTATGGGAAGGGATCTAGCAGCCTTTGCATCCTGCTCAGTGCCAGGTCTCCCACGAGCAGGTATTGCAGCGATGTATCAGTCTTGGCAACTATGGGCCTCCTTACCGGGACAAAATTCAATCCATAATCACATTTCTCCTCTACCACTATTCTACGCAAACAGCTCTGTTGCTTGCATTGGAGCGAGCAAGTGCACTCGGTAACACCCACAGCAGCTTGCGATCAACTGGTGAGACGCAGCCCAAAGGCACTGTCCAGCCGCACCAGTGAAGACTCGCAGCACGGCATGGGGACAGTGTGTCCCCCCTCCATCTCCGGGGCAGGCAGGGCACAGGGGCTTGCTTGGTGACACCCCATTTCCCAGCACAGCCTGCCCCTTCCCAGTGTCCCTGCAGGGCAGGAGAGTCTGAGGTGGGAATGTGGGGGGGCTGTGATTTCCTGGAGAGACTTGGGGGTCCTGCAGGTGTGTCCAAACCCAAACTGAAGTGCATCTCTGCCCTGCTTCCTCTGGCACTGAGGGAAAACGGGCAGCAGAGGTGCAGCCAGCCCCTGCCCTTGTTACTCTGGTGCCTCTGCTCTGGCTGTGGAGTTATTTCTTGGTCTTGTACCTGTTTTCCCAGCCCTCCCGGCTGCTATAAATCACCTGTGGTTACCCGAAGACGTGTGGTCACAGCCTTGCTTCACCATCAGCCCAGGCAGTTTGGAAGAAAATTAAACTGTGCTTTCCACCATGACGCCGGTGGCTTGTTGCGGTGTGATTAATTACCGCTAGCTCTGCCGTTATCAGTGTCTGCAACCCGCAGCCACCCATCACCAGTGCCTTCCTGCATCCCCTCCCACCTCCACTCGCTGCCCGTGCCCGGCATCACCTGGGATGGCACCAGGCACCACACCTGAGAGCTGTGCGGGTGCAGGGAGCCGCCAGCATCCCCGTGAACCCGCACAAACCCGTCTGCTAGGTCTGGGGAGCATGCGGCCGCAGGCAAGCCTGGACGGCTTGTGGAGCCACTGTCA